TGTAACTGCGGAGAAAGTTACTTAGGGAGGACAGATCGCCGATTGGAAGACAGGATAGGGGAACATATTCCAAAATGGTTAATCAAATCCATGATTCATCCACCACCTAGCCCATCATCTCAAAATCGATCAAGAAACCCAGCCTCGTCCATTGCAAAACATCTAATGATGGGTGGTCATCAAATTGACCCAAAATCAGCCTTTATAGAGTTGTGACATGTCATCAAAACCTACACACACTGAAACTACTCGAAGCTATCTTGATTAGTCGGAAAAGTCCAACTTTATGTGTTCACAAAAACAACTGTATATTGACCTTTGTTTACCATGGTGGTTCTAGTGAGTGAATGTCATGCTAAATAAGAAATTTTGACCTTATCTTCAAAACTGTATTTACACACAAATAACATGTTGCTTGTATGTGACTGACGAGAAAGCACGAAATGGTACACTATCTCACAAAATATGTCTTCTCATTTCTCTGGTGAAATTTATCAAAGGGAACCACTGTTTTGAATAATAACAACTGACAGATCTCAAGACTTGCATCAGACATAGCTAAACAGCAAGGAAATTAAACAATGGGAAAATTTGAATACGGTGAACAAACACTCTCCATGACTCTCCTCATACATTACCTCAATAAATCAATAATAAACTAGCGTTTGAATCGACTGACTGTTCGACTGGATTCGACTGCATAAAGCTATAAATATTATTCACAAATGGCAATCGAAACTCATTATACATAGAAAAAAACAATACTTAATTACAAGTGAATAAACTGTATATAACACTTCTATATGAAATAACAACACATTATCTGTGTGACAACAAAAAAGAAAAGATTCATTTTAAAAAGAAAAATAATGAATCAGTATTATTATTCTCTTAACTTATTCTCGTAACCAAGTAATAATAATGCGTAATAAAACGAATTACCAGTCATTTTTATTACATGTGTAATATATATATATAGAAACATACATACATGCATTTGAACAGTAGTTGATTTCATGTAGTTCCTCCCTTTTATTGTGTGTATTGTTTCAAAAGGAAAGAGAATTTCTTAAAAACGATCAACAATCCAACAGAATATTTTGAAATACATAGTAGTAGTAGTAGTAGTAGTAGTAGTGCATGTTGGGAAATGAGAAAGTCATGAAGAGAAACACAAGAACACCAACAACAATAACATCAACCACTAAGTGAGCTGCGCGTTTGTGTATCGTTGATTTAGTGAAATCAGAAGAAAAAAACTAGCAGTAATAATATTAATAATAATAATAACCAGTGAGTCAGTCGTACAGAATCAATTCGTCTTAATGCATTTTCAAGAGAACAAAATATAAATATTCCAAAGTGAAAGGGGGGAGATAAAATGTGGTCATTTTGGGTTTTTTTGTCTTATCATTTGCAAACTACTTATTATTATTGTCAGTAGTATTATTATTTTAAATTAAAATTGTGATTTGTAGTGTTAAAATAGATAAACAAGTGAAATTAGGCAATGTCAGTCTTTCTTCTTCTTTTCTGTCTGTTTGTTTCTTTTTTTTTCAACTTTTATTCACAACAACAATAAATAAGAGAACAAAGTAAATAAACAACATCACAGCCTTCAGTATTTAAGTAGTATATGAGAAATACACGCAAAAATATTTCAATCGTGAGAAAATAATCGGAAAAATAAAAGTACAATAAGATATTTCTTAGTCGAATAGTTAATTTTTATTTCAAAATATATAAATTATAAAGAATAAATATAGTGTATGTATCAGTACAACATTGCTGGAAGACAGTAAGTAGTATACTGTAACGAATATGTATATATTTATATGTATGTACGTAATATCAACACGTACAAAATGTAGGTGAAAATAAGAGTTCATTGTTTCCAAAGGTGGTAGTACTATTATGTATGTATGTATCATCGTCATCATTATTATCAATGTAATTATTTTACAAATCAAATATGAACGATTTTGAAACGGTGGTGTTTGTTAGGTAATGCGAACTGTGTGCACTGACTGTTCCCTTGCACTCCTCACTCACACTCACACTCACACTCTCTCTGTAACTCTTCAGGATTATATATGAATATGTGAGTAGATACATATATACATATATATATATATATATATATATATATATATATATATATATATATATATATATATATATATATACATATATATATACTCTCTGTATGAAAGCCCCAATAATCATTCGTTTAAAAATAGTAAGTGCAGTTAGTAGTGAGTAGTGAGTAGTTAGGTATACGTCTACAATTGAGCACGAGTTTTAATGATTACAATTACAATTACTACATATACAACACAATAATGACAAAAAAACATGTATGCATATGTATATATGTATGAATAAGATATGAATAAGTTCAGTTCAGTGCAACGAATAGAAAATCTAGATTATGCAAACAGAAGAAGAGTTAAGAGTGAAAAAAAAATACATGTACACTGGAGAATCAATGTGTGTGTAAAATAGATAGACTGGTGTAGTTTGTTGGTAGTGTGTGTCATCGATGAAGTTTGTATGTATGTGTGTATGCACGTAAGTGGAATAAGTAATTCATCGTACCAGTGTGTAGAAAAGTACATAACCTTCAGCAGATATAACGGAATTTTCTGAAATTGTATGTACACTGGGAATAATTGTCAAAAATATAAAATAGAATAAAATACACTGAAGTGTATGCACTATATTTGTAATTCATTATTTATTGGAAATATTTAGTAATTATCATAAGTGTTCATTGATTAAACTAATTACTTCAAGGTTTCATTGTTTTTAGACAGAATCTGATTGATTATTTGTAGTTTTTGATCATCAATCTTAGTGAGGTTTTTTTAATTAATAGCTTCATAAGAGGTGTACTACTGTAAGAATGATCAGTTGTAGTTAGTTAGTTGTCCTTCGAAAATTCTAGTTGTACCACTCCACTATAAACGTTAAAATTTGATTGTGTGGGTTTAATACCAACCTAGGCGAACCGTTAAACGAGATAGCGTAAGAACGTTTTGTTTACAAATGCGCCAGATGGTACAGAACCTAAATGTTACGCATGCACATAAACATGTCATTTTGATATGCTTGAACGATTATTACGAGTTTACCTTAATCGGAAAACGAGAGCGAGGATCGAGGATCCGGTGACACGACATGCCACTCTAATCCGAGTGTCCCAACCTGTTGGGGATGTTAGATCCCCGAAATTCGCTTGATAAATGCCTTATTTTGGTTTTTACGTTTGCGAGCATGGGATGATCAGTTGACCTTGAGATTTCAATTCCCACCAGGAGAATCCATGGCTGTGATTGGCTGCTGTGTATTTTAGTGTGCTATTTTCTTAGCTACCTCAAGAACGTTTCTATGTAGTATAAATAAACGCGTTGTATGCTTGATTGTACTGTGATTGCTGGGTGTTTGTAGAATATACTTTCTACGCTTACCAAGACTTCTGTTTTACCGTTTGGATTCAAGGTAGCCTATCTGGACGCTGGTAAAAGTCTCGTTCGCGTTTATCGACTAAGGTAAACTCGTAATAGCCTCAAGCATACTTAGTGACGAGCGTTACACAACCCCCATTGAGTAAAAGAAGACGGCTTTGATATGAAGTAGAACATGTATTCTACAAGCATCCATAGAGTACGAGGTCCGAGTCCAGAAGAGAATTAGGATCCCGAACTAGGGAAGCGGGTCTAGGTCCGGGTCATAAAACGTTACAAATTATTAGGTCGAATAGGAAGCAACATTGAAGTCTGTGACATTGACAGTTAGGACGACCAATGGGAATTGACCGAAAGAATTAGACTTACAAACAATTATCTTAGGATATTGGGTGAATATCCTAACGATAAAATTTGAAAAATTTTCTGACAACTAAGTTCAACTACTGAAAGCAAAATAATAAGCCAGCTTCTAGTTCAATTACTGATTATCGGTAAATAGCGAGGACAGTCTAAGAATTATTGAAGCGTTGATTTTGCTGCACTCCGCACCTTTTGAGTGCAAGTTGTCGCATAGATGTAGTCTGGGTTTATTAGAAGCGGCTAGGAAATCAATCGGATAGAGCGTCGTTCACTGGAAAGATTTTTCACTGATACCAATCAATGATCAATAATTCGGTAATTGAAAAATAAAACCAGACATTCTTACAGTGATCAATAGACCATTAAGTCATTGTATTGCAAACAAATTGTGCAAGTGTTTTGAGGTTGATTTAGTGAAAAGCTGTAACATGTTGAAGGAAACATACTAAGTGTGATTCAGTTACGCTCAATAACATATAATCTAGTGATTATCGTTTTATTTTGTGGACGTTTGAACTATCATGAAGTTTCAAAATATGATGGTCTTAAGTTTTGTTCTACCAAAACCAAAATCAGCATTTTCAATACAAATGTGAAGACAGTTCTACTGTATGGAGCGGAAACTTCGAGAACTACCAAAGCCATCATTCAGAAGATACAAGTGTTTATTAACAGCTGTCTATGCAAAATACTTCGGATTCGTTGGGCAGAAACAATCAGCAACAACGAACTGTGGGAGATAACGAACCAGATTCCAGTGGAGGAGGAAATCAGGAAGAAGCGGTGGAAGTGGATAGGACACACACTATGAAAAGCAAATAACTGCATCACGAGACAAGCCCTCACATGGAACCCTCAAGGCGAAAGGAAAAGAGGATGGCCAATGAACACATTACGCCGAGAAATAGAGAAAGATCTGAGAGGAATGAACAAACATTGGACAGAACTGGAAAGGGAAGCACAGGACAGAGTTGGTTGGAGAAAACTGGCGGTCGGCCTATGCTCCATTGGGTGTAACAGGCGTAAGTAAGTAAGTAAGTAAGTTTTATTCTCCCCTAGTGAAAAGTACAAAATGCTTAGTGTTCTTTATATCAGTTGAGCAGTGTTGAAGCGAAATTTTTTTAAAGTGCAACTTTCATTCATACATTTAAGGAAAAAAAAGAAACTTACTGACTGTCATTAAATGAATACCAATTGCCTGTATAAGGATGTAAACATGAGGCAGTATAATGGCCAGCATAAACACTTCCAGAATGATTTGAAACTGCGTATAATTTGTATTTAGCTGACTTTTCGGTGCCTAAATTACAGACAAAAAAATAAATCATGTCATCATTTTCACAATAAATCATCATTATCATCATACATCATTCTTATGGTTGAATAGATTTGTCCTATAAACAAAACCGAAGGTCCTGGGTTCGAATCCTAGGTATAGCCGAGGAGTTGTGAACAAGCACTGCTGATAAGTCCTATACCAGGATGAAATGGCCGATCAGGGGTTCCAGAATTCTAATGGTGGTCTAACATTGAACGATTCATGATTTAAAAAGTAACTCAAACATCTCCATGACCCTGTAATGCAAGCCATACGATATAGTTTAGTGTAAATGTATGTCTGCCGGCCCTAAGTCAGGATAAAGAAGGAGGGTTGAGCATTGGAGGAATGAGACCCCGTTCCCTAGAAATCCAACTCGCTAAAAAACGCTAACCAGAAAAAGTAATTCGCTGGTCGGCGGCCTA